GAGAGAGAGAGAGAGAGAGAGAGAGAGAGAGAGAGTCGATGATAACACTTCTGTAACTTATACGCATTATGTCGTCATGTAAACCAACAACGTAGGGCCTATATATTTACGTTTTGATCGTTGCCTTCAAATTGGTGTATGGGGGGAGGGGGTGGAGTACCAAACATTTGTTTTAAGAATTAAAAACAAATAAATAAATAAAGCCTGAAGAATAGAATTAAAGCCTACAAATCTCGAACGGAACCCATCAACGCCAAAAATTACAAATTATTGGTTTCGATTTCAACATTGAGTTAGTCCATGCGAAATTCCCGTTATAGTTTTACATTATACAGCGGAAATAACCGAAGACTCACGAAAGATCACACCATTCCATTCTGTGGTAACGCGTAGTGACCAACAGTTTGGCGTTGGTTGTGGGGTAATGGGAGTGATTCACCGGCTCGGAAATTAACAACCTATCTTCCCTCGGAATTTCAAGGTATGGTTGATCTTATGTTTACTGGTTTATGGTTCAAATGACATGTCGTGAATATTATCATGATACCTCATGTGACTGACTAACTTTTTGTATGTTCGGCTTCCCGATGAAGCCAACGAAGTCTTCCTAGTCTCAGGTCGACTGCAGTGTAGTGTTATAGTAAGTAACCCTATCCACTGTAACTGAATACGACTGTTCTGTGACACCCTGATTAGACCACTCTGCTTCTGGTAATAGCCTGTAAATTTTGTTATTGGTCAAGGCTACCTTTCCCCTTTTTCGCCTTGTCTTTCCTTTTTTCCAACTTCGAGGCGCGTATTGATCGAAATGTGGTTTAATTGGTGGGTGGCAAGATACCCGTGTGTGTGAATTTGTGACTGGTTCAGTTTCAGGAAGGAAACGCCCATTTTAGTATTCAGTAGCTGTGTTGACTGTGTTTATCCACGTGCGGATTAGCAGATCGTTTCGGAAACCTGTTAACGGTTAGACAGAACGGGTTATAAAAATAGATCTAGATCTAGAATCTAGATTTCTAGATTTAACATGGAAACTGTCTGTAGAATCTAACAATGAAGGGAATCATGAATGTAAATTTGCACTTCTAAATTTTCTTAGTTTTTCAATCTTCATCATTTTAGGGCAGTAAAATTTAGGCCATTTTAATAGCCTATCAGTGTAGATCTAAATCTAGATCTAGATCTAGATCTATATTAGATCTAGACTTCTTGTTTGTTTCACTAATCTAACTAGAATCTAGATCTAGAAGGTTCTTTATATCTAATCTAGATTCTAGATCTAGAGAGTCTAGATCTAGATCTAGATCTAGATCTAAATCTAGATTCGATCTCTAAATCTTGATCTAGATTCTAGATCTAGAGGGACACTGCCTCTCTAACTCTCACTTTGTGTTCAAAATAATCGCAATAGGCCATTAAAAAAAATATGATAGGGCCTAGATTCTAGATTTAGATTCTATTATAATAAGATTTGAGCTCATTTTTATATTTCTTTTAAAAATTGCTCCTGTTTTAAAGAAAAGGTAAGATTGAAGAATACTGGACCAGCGGATTGCGACTAGAATACTTTTGCCTTAGATGTCTCAACATGATTTCCCCCAGTTTTTAATTTCTCTGTCAATTGTCTCAATAAAAAATCATCTTTTAGTGGTTAGGCTCTCAGACTCGCAACCGTAAGGTCATGGGTTCGAATCCCGTCAAGGGCCCGATGTTGTGTCCTTGGGAAAGGCACTTTACACGAATTTTCCTCACTTCACCC